TCCCCGCTCCAGCCCAGCCTCCCGGCTCCACACCAGCGAGCGGGCCTTTGTGCCGGCGGCGCTTGCGGGGCTAGCTGCTTTTGTTTGGGTTTTCTTTCTTTCTTCTCGCTCTGCCCTCCCGGCCTCACAGCGGTGATCAGAGAAGTTCCCGAAGGCTGCGGTTTGCTCCTTCCAGAGCGTCGATCGCAGTGTCCCCGATGCCAAACAGCCCCGCAGCCGAGGAGCGAATGAGGGCTGCCGTGGCCACCGAAATGTGTTCTGTTACTTTGCAGAGAACAAACAGTTGGGTGCTTAGCGCAGAGATGTCCCTGGACCTCCTCGCTCAGACCCTGGCTGGTCCCCCGGGACGCGGCAGGAGGATGCTCCTGCGGAGGTCACCTAACTGGAAGGAGGGCCTGCGGGTTATCCGCGGAGCGCAGGCTCTGCTGGAGACTCCAGAATGGTGACGGGGAGGTGCTGCCCGGAGGCGCCCACAGGTCTCGCGTGTGCGCCCTGGACCCTGACAGAACCTGACCCATGTAGATTCTGAACATGTAGAGCCCCGGCTGGTAGCGAAGCAGCCGCGCACTCTTAAGAGTTGGAGCTCGTGAAGATGAGAAACCTGCCCTCCCAAGCTGATCCCAAGGGTCTGCCAGGATCTTGGCAGCTCGTGTCAGGGCAGAGCTGCTGTGGAGGAGAGGAGACACTGCTTTGAAGTGTCTGCCTTCATTCTTCGGAAGTTCTAGTTGGAAACTTAAGGGGGAGAGGGAGTGGTTCGCAAAGCCATCCATAGAGCTCTGAAGGATTTCTTCTGTAGGGAGCAAAATGCGAGACCATAATGTGCCCGCCTCCCTCTCCTTTTTGTGCATTTCCCTGCTCACAAGTGATGCTGTTGGGCTCCAAGGAGTCTCATTTAAGCCAAGAGCCGCAGACCCACGGACGGGCAACTCAAAGCCGGGGTGAGGTTTCCCAGGATCTGAACGTTGCTGCTTACTTTTACGCACAGTGGAGGTTTCAGGGCAGACTTACTTTTATGAATAAGGTAGTGTTGTTATATTTGTCCTAGGAGTGAACCAAACACTTCTGCAGCAGGCTCCATATGGATCCCGTTGGTTTACAAAACTCCCAGGACTGAGGGAGTCTGATGTAACTGCAGCAACAGAGCTAATTAGGGGGATGTGGACTTGGCTTTGTTTTCACAGGAAGCTTCGTATCATTATGTTCTGGGGTTTCACGCTAAACTTTTCAGGATCATAATTGGGTGCTACAGGTATGGTTTGAATATAAGCATAGCGCCGAAAGGAGGAAGCGGGGCTTACCTGTTTCCGCTCTTGGACTAAAGGTGTACTTCACCGTTTGTTCAGCAGACGTTTGCCTGAAGAGTTGTGTATGGAACTGTGTCCTTGTTCACTGAATTTTGTTTATTGTCACAATAGGGAAGCTGGCTGTTCCAAGGGAACCTGGGTTTAATCTCTGTAAAATGAAAATTCATTCCCTGATTGAGATGTGTCGTCGATCCTGTCTTTGCCGGTTGTGTTTAGTTGGTGATTATAAGACAAGTGTCTGAAATGTTAAATATGTTTATTCCTTGATATGTCTACCTGGGGATTTGATTACCTTCTCCTTTCAGGCAGCTAATACTTAGAGACCTTGTCAAGCAAATGAGGTTTTGTGANGAAATGTTAAGTATGTTTATTCCTTGATATGTCTACCTGGGGATTTGATTACCTTCTCCTTTCAGGCAGCTAATACTTAGAGACCTTGTCAAGCAAATGAGGTTTTGTGAAGCACAAAGAACAGAAATGAAGTGTCAGATTGGGTCATCAAGAATAACTGTGTGATGGATGGACAGGAGCTTGTCGATCGAGATTGATTAGGGCAGGATTCTGCAAACATCAGGTGATTCCCCAGCCACTCTGTCTGCGTGAGCAGCTGAAAGTGGAGGCTCCATGGAAATAGCCAGGGGGAAAAAAGGGTGTTACGGATGCTTCAAATTGCTCCCATTTCTGTAGTTTGAGGGGGATGCATGTCAGAACCACACTAATGTGTCTTAAATTGTATGATACTTGAAACTTTTTCTTAAAACCATTTTCATGTCTATTATCACTTTTTTGGCTTCCCTTCCACCTTTTGAAGAAAGCAGAATAAACGTTCTTGTCTCCATTTTGCAACAAGGAAACTGAGTTTCAGTGATTTTGCCCAAGGTGGAGCTGGAACTTCAGGCCAGTTTTAAAATCTTCAAATCTTGCTTCTTTTACTAGGGATAGAGTGATGTGTGGAAGGGTGATAAGCACAGACACCTTCATTTTCTCCAGTGCTGAACTGCAGAGAGTAAAGCTGCGGGCTCAGCGTGCTGAACATAGCCGATGCTGCTTTCTTCCTGGGGATCATGCTCTTTTTTGCGATTACTCTAGTCTCCCTCCTTCCTCTGTGGTCGAACATGCTGCTGAAAGGATCATCTGTCATTCCAGTGACTTAATTTATAGAGAAAAATGACTGGGGCCAGATGGTCTTGAAGTCAATGTATCAGGCCACGGACAGTTGTCAATAGCACAGTGGATCAGAACGGGGTACCTTGATTTCATGGGCCACCGTTGGGTTAATAGGGGCAGGGTCTTGATAAGCTCAGCTCTAGATGGATGAAATAGCATTGGCAGCGAGGGCCTTCAGGATTACAACAAAAAAAGGTGAGACAATGATAAATCGTCATTGAGATCAGGAAACACACAAAAAGGAAAGATTATAAAGACACAAACAAAGAAGGGAAAGAATTTCCTTTTCCCTCATCAATCACAGATTCACTGTTTGGATTTTTAAGGGTGAGATGGTAACTGGGAAGCAAGTCGACCTGAAGCTCTGAGACTTGTCACTTGTTACTGTTGTTTATCTAGTTTTTAAAATGAAATAAATGCTGAAAATCTAAAATATAGAAGAAATGAGAATATAGAAATTATTATTATTAAAATGACACATTGACTAAGTGGCCAAAATTGGCTACATCATGAATATAACGTACAGTTAAACATGGATAGACCACAAAATGTCATTGAAAATCTTACAATATAAAATGGAGACTCTGCACATTCTTTCTCACTTTCTTAAATGGTTATTTATAGTCACTTGATGACAGCAAATATTTATTGAACACCTCCTCTATGTGCCTACCATTATTAGCAATTATATAGCAAACAGAGGAAGCTAAAAGATCAGTGTTTACATGCAAGGAACATAACCTTATTTGAGGTGACCAGACTTACAGACATGATTATTTGTGCTTTAGAGAAGCTGGGAGAAGGGTGGGAAGACTGGGTGAGGCAATTTTGTGACAGTAGTTAGTAAACAGGATGTGACCTGGGGAGGCCAGGGTGTGGATACCTGGGGTAGGGAGCTCTGACTAGTGCAGTGTCATGAGCAAAACTTAGGAACCTGAAATGAGTCATGGCACAGAAAAGGGTAATATCCCCAGCTGGCCATGGTGTCTGTACTGGGCACTAGTGCTGTGGGGTTGCATTATAGATAGGGAGTTTGGCAATTGTATGTTTGGGAACGTTATGTGTTTTGGGAAGGCAGAGAGTTGTAGTGGCAAGGGCAGGGAACTTGAAGTCTGACAATTTACAAGGTCAAAAACAGACACGATCACGTAGGCAAGTTCATTCTCCATGCTCAGCCTGTAGTTTTTTCGTCTAACAAAGAAATGGGGATAATGGTAGTACCTTATCGCATTAAGATTAAATAAGATAATTTACATAAGGCACTTACAATACTTGGCACATAGCATCCCCAAATGGTTGTCATTTATTGATTATTGTCATCTTTTGTATGTTTTTTATTGAATTTAGAGTGAGAGGAAAGGAGAGGGAGAGAGAGATAGAAACATCAGTGGGAGAGAGGAACACTGATTGGCTCAAACACCCAACCCGGGTATGTGCCCTGACCAGGAATCCAACCGGCAACTGTTGGGTGCACAGGAGGACACTCACCCAACTGAACCACACCGGCCAGGGCTGGTTGTTGTCATTATTATTCTTACAAATAAACCATCTGCCCTGGCCGGTGTGGCTAAGTGGTTAGAGCGTCAGCCTGCTCAACAAAGGGTCTCAGGTTCGATTCCTGGTCAAGTGCATGTACCTGGGTTGCAGGTTCGGTCCCCAGCCCCAGTTGGGGTGGGTGCAGGAGGCAACTAATCTGTGTGTTTCTCTCACATCAATGCCTGTCTTTCTCCCTTTTGCTCTCTCTAAAATAAATAAATAAACTAATAAATGGGGAAAAATATCCTTGGGTGAGGATTTAAAAAAAAAAAGGAATAAACTATCTGGATTGTATAAAATGGATTGGAGAGAGTCTGAAAAGATCATCAACTCAGAGGCAATTAAAATAATAACAGTTCAGTGAGGTGACAAGAAGGGACAATTCCAAGAGATACTATGAGGAAGGACCTGCAGGAGTTGTGCATGTAAAACATAAAGGAGAGGAGAGTTCAAGATGACGCTGAAGTGCAGATGAAAAGATGGTGTGTTTCAGGTGGCATCCACGTGACTTCTAGTGGCCAGCTCCACGGCCCTCCTGAGCCTTGAGGGCTCATAGGGTAATGCTCATGTTCCTTACATGTTATACCTGCAACCCAATTTACTTTGAAAAAAGTAGCTTTGTCACTGCTGAGAATGTTTTAACATGCTGGTCCCCTTCTGTGTGTGTGTTTGGGTAATAACACACTGAACAATACAAGAGTAGATTTTAATTGGAAAAATAGTGACAGTGTTTAAAAAAACTGATTATGAAGTCTAACAAGAGGGCTAAGGCTTTTTTTTTTTTTTCTTATGTGGTCTTTCATTTGTCTTTGTAACTTGAATATGCCTAGACTTGACAAAGAAACAGATTCTGGACTGTATCTATTTAAGATTGTCAGAGATAATGCTTGACAGGACAGCTTATCTGCCCGCGGAGGGCAGAAATGCAGTCCGTTGTTCAGAGGACTGCAGGGCCATTAGGATACCTTGAGAGCCAGTGATAGACAAAGTGCTACTGATTTGCTCTGGAAGGGATGCTTTTTAAGCTATTAGATGCTAATATCCACTGTCAGTTAGCAATTTAGTTAGAGTTTATTTATCTGAATTAATTTGCCCTGATGGATATAGTGGAGGGAAAACAGCATCCAACATCATAGTGTGAAGTAAAAGTTAGAGAAATCTGCTTTTGTTTATTAAACACTATTACAATTGAGTTTATTTAAGATAATTGAGACACAGACTATCTAATAAGCAATGAAGTCTCCCCTTCCTCTTCCTCCCCCAGCAAAGCAGCTATAGACATTCACCTGTTTGTCAGCCGATCTCCACTGAGCGTTTCCTCTGTGCCAGGCACTTGCCAGGGAGAGGATACAACATTGAGGACAAAGGAAAAGGCCTTCAAAATGTGCTTGCAGATGGTTATATAGGTTTAGAAATATTGTCATTGAATTGGCAATGGACAGTCTTTTCCTATTTATTCTCTAATGTCATGCAACTCCCAGTGAGGGGGACACTGAGCTCATGGGAACGGTTACGTGAACCTGTACTGTGCTTTGAAAGATGGAGAAAGACCTGGAACTTGAAGGTCATCTACCAATTTATCTGAGCTGCAGACATGTCCCCTGCTGCCGTTTCTACAGGCAGTCTTTTCTTTTCTGCTTCTTTTAAAGTTCAGATGTCATTTTGAACAGTGGAGAGAAGGAGCATATGGCCACAGTACACACAGGCATAGACTAGGCTAGCAGTTCACCCCCACTCTTTCTGCTGTAATTGGATTTAGAAAGCAGGTGGCCGACACTTAATTACAGAAGGGAAGTTTTTTAAAGCAATGGCAGAATTCCTTTCACACAAATATTCTAAAGCTCAAGATCTAGGTGAAAATAAACCCTGAAGGAAAGCTCTGTTTTGGAAAGGCAATTGAGGTTATATTAAATCTTTATTGCTTGCTCCCTCCCATCTGATTTGATCATAAAATTCTCCTCTTGGTCCACATGACTCCAGAACATATTAAATAAAGTGGAGCATTCGTTTAGTCATTTGGGTGCCTTGCCTGCTTGATGGAGAAATATGAAAATATTGTATTTTTATTTTATGTCATATAGATAAAATATGAAAATGGAATCATGGAGGCAGAAGGGGTTTCAGAGATTATTTTAAGCCCTCATTTTGTCAAAAGAGAAAATGAAGCTGTTCGGCCAGTGTCACATAGTAAGTTTTAACAACAGTATAGCTAGGATTTAGGAATCATTTTTCTGATGCCAGTCCATGACTCTCTAAACTGTACTGCCACCGTGATGGCCTGTTTTGTTTTTTTTGTGTGTGTGTGTGTTTGCATGTGTTTATCCAGAAGCGTGGGATCTTGTAAGCAAAAATATTAGGCCACACCCTCCATCTTCTGTGATGTTTAGTAAGATTTTACGGAATGGGAAAAATATTTGTTTAGGAAAGTACGGCTCTCTGAACAGGTCAGAAATGAACCAGAGTTCTGTAGCTTTTACATATCTTCCATTATATAGGGCTTCATAGTTCAACTTGTCTGCACTGAAATCTGAAGGTGTAAGGTCATCAACTGAGCACTCATGCTTTACAGCCCTCACATATTTTTGTTTTAAGGAAGGAAAATAGAGGCGGCAGGCCAAGTACTGTTACCAAATATTTTACCTGGCTATGAACAGGGCTCATCTAAAGTGATAACTAATATCCAGAATGTTGACATGCCTTGGCCCATGCCATTCCCTCTTCATCAAATATCTTTCCCATATTCTCTCTGTTTAAAACCATGCTAGCTACCTGTATGTAATTTAATATTTAAATAAAATTGGTTCAAACCTTCATCCTACACATGGGGAAATTTTACATCTCTCTTACTGTCTCTGAGGATTCTTGTCAGGGGGGTGGGCAGTGGCTTATATTTCTCCTAGTCACCTTTGGCTTTGATATTCTTCTGCTGCCAAATTTATGGTCCCTGACATGCACTTTGGTTTTCTGCACTTGACACCAGGGCACCTCATGACATTAGCCCATTTCTGTATTCTCCCAAAGTATTGCAGATTCAAGCTTTTTGTGTAACAGATTACCTTCAAGCTTGGTGGCAATAAATGTTTATTATTTCATCCCATTTCTGTGCAGTAGGACTTCGGGAATAGCTTAACTGGATGGTTCTGGCCCAAGGTCTCTTAAAAAGTTGTGGTCGAGATGTCAGCTGGGGCTGTAGTCATATGAAGGCCTGACTGGGGCTGGAGGATACGCTTCCAAGGTCATTCATTCATGTGGTGCTGGGAGCTCTGCAAGATGCCTCAGCTCGGAGTCCATGGGCTCCTCTTTCCCCATGTAGAAAAATTCAGCCTCCTTTTTCTCAGCAGCCATCGGGGACTGAGGACTTGACCCTTTCTCTGTCTCAAAAGGATCTGTAAGACTAGAGGGGATAACAGCAAGAAAACTTTGAACACCTAAAGGGGAAAAGGCCCTCTGAAAATGTGACATTTTCTAGTTTATGTGTGCACATCAAGTGCTTAAACCAATAGATTAATGATTAGACACAAAGGAAAGAAAAGGTATAACTTCTATAAAGATAAGATTTTTATTTTAGAATTTTTATTCCTAGGTTTAATTTTCTAGAAAACCTGTAGCATCTGAGAAAGTTCTGACGATGGGAAAAGAAAGGGCCCTATTCAGCCAAAGAGATAAAAAGAACTGAAACTCTTAAGTTTTGGGGAAAATGATCAGTTCTGATATAGTTTTAGTTGTGATGAGAGTGTGAGTAGTTTTTAAAAATATATATAATAAATCTTAATATTACAATAATGTGTATTCAGTTAAGATTATTAATTTAAAATGTGTTTTGTTTCTCTTAAAATGTTTATTTCTTTTAATAAATACACTTGCTTTAACTTTTACCTTTTCTAACCGTTACACTTTATTTTTTAAATTTATTTATTTTTAAAAAATATATCTTTATTGATTTCAGAGAGAGGAAAGGAGAGGGAGAGAGAGAGCTAGAAACATCAATGATGAGAGAGTCATTGATTGGCTGCAGCCCGCAACCCGGGCATGTGCCCTGACCGGGAATCGAACCCTGATCGCCTGGATCCTAGGTCGACGCTTAATGGCTGAGCCACGCCCGGCCGGGCATCTAACCGTTACACTTTAAACTTGAAGGTTTTGCTTATAATTTTATAGTTGTTGTAGAGAAAAGAAATAATTTAAGCATTTTAAATCATTTATGTTTTTTAAAAACTCTCGAATGTAACTGGTATTCACTATTTTTGCGATGACGTTTAATACATTTTAAAATATACTTAAAAGGTTCTTTGAATGTAATGTAAGTAAATGTAAGATTTACTTCCTGTATCTTGGACATTTCTGCAGCTATTTGACTACATGATTAATAGAGGAATTTGGGGAGAACATTGCAAATGTGAGTTCAAGGGTAGTTTATTTCAAGTAGGTATTTAGGAAACAGTGACCTGAGTAGTTGAACTGTGTGTACCTTTGTCTAGAAAGCATCAAGTTAAATCAGCTGCAGAATTCAGCAGGGAAAAATGAACTGGGTTATCCATGTCTCAAAGGTACAAAGAAATAGAACAGTTCTCTCTTACGAACCATCTCTGAGCTTGAAGTCAAGGAGATTATTTTACTTATGGTTTAATTCAAAGGGGCTTATTTACAAAATATATTTAAATGACAGTTTGATATGCTTTGTTTTTCTGCAGGACTCAATTACTGCAGTTGTCAACTCTGCCATTTTATGTGCACATTTCTCTTCCATTATGAGAAGACCAATAGTATTGCACATTTGTCTGGCTTTCTGTAGCCTTCTACTTCTCAACGGTGCCACACAATGTTTGGCCTTCCCCAAAATGGAAAGAAGGGAGATGGCACATGGTCATGAAAAAAGAGGGCAGTCTGAGAGGATAAATGTGGATGACCTAGAAAATAACTCCATTGCTTCAAAGGACACTCCCCAACCAGTGGTCTCCAAAGAGCCGATGATAGTGTTATTGGAACCATTAGCAATGGCATTAAATAATGCATCCCCTATTAACGAAGAAACCCATTCTAGAGGAGCGGGGCTCCTGCAGCCTCACGGCCCTGGTGTTGACACTGTTACTGAGCCAGGGGTCCCAGCAGGGGAGGAAGTGTTTGGTTCCAGCCAGCTGGAGAGAACGTCTGAAAGCCTGCTTTCCAAGGCCATTGCATCCAACCCTATCACGACAACTGCTGCTCAGAGTATTGAGAAGGAGGAACACTTCAGTAGCACCAACACTCAGCCCATTGTAGAAGGGCTCACAGAAGCCACGCAAGGTTTTCTGAAGTATGTGGGTAATCAGTTGTTTACAACTGAAAGTCAGGGAGGCATTAGTCTGGGACACTCACCTTCATCCTATGTGAATACTAAGAAAATACTAGCCACCAATCCAAGGACTGAGACATTGGAAGCAGACACAGATCATAGGACAACCTCTTTTCCCGGTGCTGAGCCCATAGCAGGCACCGAGCCTGGAGGCCTCATGTCTGATAGGGAGAAGCCTTCACAGATGACAGCTGATAATACGCAGCCCACTGCCACCAAGCACGGGCTTGCAACCGCCGAGTATACCCTGAGTGTTGAGCCAGGAACTGACAGCCTGCTGGGAGCCCCAGAAGTCACTGTGAGTGTCAGCACAGCTGTTCCAGATGCATCTGTCCTAAGCGATGAGTGGGATGACACCAAATTAGAGCATGTAAGCCAGATAAAGACCCTAAAGCCTGGAGACAATACAGAGACTCAGATGAGAATGGAAACGTCTCCGACAGCCCAAGTAAGCGATAATGGTGTGGAAGGTATGGAGGGGGACGGACCTTTGACAGAGGCTGCACAGATGGGCCTGGGGCTGCCCGAAGGGGAAACACGCACGGAGACAGCCCTGCTTATAGCCCGTGGGGATGGGACACCAGCTGCCTTCACCGATCATATTTCCTTTACTCCCACAAGTTCGTTGGAAGATACGAAAGTCTCTGTTGTAAACCTGTTTGAAAATACTGTAGACTTCATGGAATCCACCAAGGAAAACAATGCCATGTTTTTCTCAGCAACCACTGTTTCCATCTCAGAATATGAGTCTGAGGCTTATCAACCACTGAGAAATACGTTTAAAGGTAAAAGAAACAAAAACAAGCTTTGTTTAATTTGAAATGCTTTAATTTGGTTTTATTATTTTTTAAATTGAAAAATAATTCACATATAACATAGGAGTTTTAGGCATTGTTTTATTTTTTAAAAGTGACGATTTAAAAATAATTTATCTATGCCACGTCCTGCCTTGATGGATAACTCATTAGGCATGCGGTGGGTAGGGAGTGAGGGCCACATCCCAGAGTGTGCAGGATGCTCTAGGAGTCTCTGGAGGAAGGTGGCTCTAAACTGCCCTGAGCTTTCTCCCCAGGTGGTTTTTTTATGGTTTCTTGGTGGCCACAATAGAAACAAACTACCCTCAGAACCAGAAACCTGAGAAGCCTAATCCCCAAGCAATGCATGAATTTCCTTCCCTAAAACTTCAGGGATTCCTGAGGATCTGAAATGGTCCCATGGATTTTCCTGGCTGGTTGCCACAACTGTGTAACATTCAAGGCCCACATCCATCTGTGATGCCAAGGTTCTCTGCAACATGAGAGCTGCCTTCCCCCTCGAGGTGTGACATTCACTGGGGAGGTGGGAAAGAGGTGATGTGTGAGGGATAAAATATCTAATCTTCTTACCTGTAGGCAGAATCAGCCCTCACTCAATGCTTATTATCAGTTATCCAAGAACAACACCAAAGAAAATTAGCTGAGACATCCAAGAAGCAAACATTAGAATCCATTATATTACCGGTAACAACTGTATTTGAGGGAACTGTATTTTGCGCATTTTAGGACATTTTTATAAAGCACTGTAATTCTTTCATTGAGGGGTGGAGACCAACTAACTCTTTTTGTTATTTGCATTAAAATTACTTTGGGTCTCTGTTCAAAAAAATAAGTTATCTAAATTTTAATGAAAAGCAAAAGTAAACAAATAAAACGTATATTTTATGTAAAAATTATACCTGAATATAACTCCTGCATATAGGCCAGTGGTATTTAACTGGGAATTGTCTCCCTTATCCCATCATTTGGCAGTGTTTGGAGACATTTTTGGTTGAGACAACAGAGGGGTGCCACTGCCTACCGGCATCCAATGTGTGTGTAGAGGCCAAGGATGCTGCTACATACCCTATGATGCACAAGACAGCCCCCCAATAACAAATGTCAATAGTACTGAGAAACTCTGGTATAGACTCAATATTTTTCAAACATTTTGTTATGAAAATGTATAAATATATAGGAAAACGTGAGAGAATTAGCTATATGTTTAAGTGGTATAAGGACAATGTATGATACTTACACATTGTTGTAAAAAATACTCCTATCCCTAATATTTCATACTAAACAGCTTTAGGTAAGTATTTATTTCACAGTATTAACCACATTAGTTTTTTCACTTTGTTTTCCCAAAAAGAAGTTCATCTAGAAATAAGGGGAAATAAAAACCAGTACAGATAAGTCTTCTTGCCGTCCCAGTTCTGCACTTAGTATCCCTCTTGGCCTTTACACCTGGGAGTGTTAGGAGCCGGCAAGCCTTACATTTGCTGCTGATGGCTAATATTTTTCTTTTGTTATGTGTGTTGGTTAGCTAACAGCATGGGCAAGGAAAGACTTAGTGTAACGTGCATATGCTCATCCCTAATTGTTTTGGAATGTGTTCAGCCTGTTACTTCTGCTAAGTAGACTAATTAATGGAAAATATCAAACAAGTAATATGTTTTATAAAATGTTATTAGGATTGAATTAAGATGATGAAAGATTGAATTTTACATGTCCAATCATTTTTTTATTTTGAAAAATTACTTCATTTATTTATTTATTTTCCACCCTTATTTTGTTTATTTATTTATTATTTTATTTTATTTTTTGTTGAATTTATTGGGGTGACATTGGTTAATAAAATTATATCGGTTTCAGGGATACAATTCTATAAACATCATCTGTATATTGTATTGTGTGTTCATCACCCCAAGTCTGTCCAATTCATTTTTTAAAGACTGAAAGACCTAGTATAATGCCAGTTTTCATAGAAGCTTCCAGAAAATGTTTTGTAAGTTGCCTTTTAGGTTCCATGAAGAGAGCTGGGTTCACGTCACCGTGAAGATATTAGATGACAGGATAAGAAGTTTGCTTCAATTCTCTGTAACAGTTTAAGATACCCCTGGAGCATTAAGTCACATGGTTCTATATTATTTATTACACAATTGAATCCATGACTCTTATGTACTAGACTTGCATTAGCTTCTATTAATACAGCCTAAAAAGTAACATGAGTTTGGTAATTGTGTGATTATTATTTTGATTATTGAATATGCTCCTTACTTAGCCGTAATTGCCTCACTTAACTACAGTCTTTTAAGAGGCAACTTCTTTTATTTCCAGAACATAGCACAATATCTGGTGCCTAGTAGGTGCTCAGTAAATACCAGTTCAATGAATAAGTGAGGATAGAGAACCTTTCAGACCGGAATTATCCAATTTGACTGCCTGCATTGTCCAAATTAATCAAACAGCTTCTAAATGTTTTTAGTAGAGAGAGGAAAAGTCAAATAATTCCTTTTGCTCTAATTTTTTTGTCCCATAGAGTTAAAAAGAATGTCAAAAAATGAGATTGTTGACAGTGGTAGTTAGGGAATAGACGAAAAGCGTTCTACCCATTTTCTGGCGGTTATAAATATTTTTCAAAAGTAAGCAATTCAAATGCCAATCATTTCAGGTCCCAGGGACTACTTAGTACAGTATCTGCTTCAGGATATGCAATGATTTCTTGGTGTTTGGGGTTTTATGAACAAATGACTATCCTGAGATTATCAGTCCTCTAATTCAGCCTGTTCTTCCACTGGTTCAGTTGAAGATCAAGTTTTAAAAGTAACCTATAATAATTATTATATATATTGTATTTTATCTCTGTAGGAAGTAGAAAGAATGAGAAGTGTGGAGAAAGTTGGAATGTTATTTTTAAATTCCCATTACTATTTCTAGTTCTCACTCTTCTTTCTCTAACTGCAGTCACTTATTCAAAGCACTATGTCATTTTGATATTTCTTGATATTTCCTGAAACTATGACCATAGACTGTACATTTATTTTTACATATTTGTTCTCAAAAGTGTTCATTATGTTTTCAAAAGTGAGGGCGACACAAAGAATGCTTACTGCTTAAAATGATAAAACTATACATTATTATCTTTTTATGGTGGAGCATTGTCCTAGGTGCTAGAGATACACAAAGGGCAATGAATGAATCCCAGCTCTCAAGAGACTTACAGTCTCAGTGGAGAAAGAAAAAAGAAAGCATAACTTAAACAGTGGTACAAAGTGCAAATATGAAGCCTTTGTAAGAACCTCACTGTAACTCACGTTGTCCTTCAACCAGGTGTATCAATCCATCAAATTTAAAACCTCTTCAATTCAAAGGAAAAAATAGTCCAAACTAGAGGAGGACCAGAAAAGTAACTGTTTATATTGAAAAAACTTACAAGCACTATTTTAAAGCAAATCAATTGTTTCCAATTTAAAATATTTTTAAATAATAGGAAGTACCACGATGTCATTGATAAACACTTAGAGAAAACCTTTTCAGCTCTTCCTAGAATGATATTTTTTCACTGTATGACGTACTGGACTTGCTAATATGCTATGTATCTAGAATTAGTATTTTAAAAAGAGAGAAAATAGGGTTTCTAGAAATTAAATTTTAATAGTGGCTCAGTATTTAAAATTTGCAGCATAGTTCCTCCCTAAGATTATTAAATAATCTTTAATAATTTCTCTCAGGGGATTAGAACGTAAAGAAAAAGGCCTCAGATAGATACATATACCCCACAAGTCTGTTTCATTCTTTTTTATGATCTGAAAGCAAATGCATATCTACAGATTGTTCCTTGGACAATGGCAGGATATCCTTTCTCATGGCTGAAGAATATTCTATTGTGTGTGTGTATGTGTATATATATTTATATATATATAAAACACAACTTCTTTATCCATTTACCCATTGATGGGCACAGTTAGCACCCTGGTTAAAAGCACTGATGATGTAACCTTAGGCAGGTTCCTTAGCTTCTCTAAACCTAAGTTGTTTGTAAAACAGGTAATAATAGCTGCTATTTATTAAATACTTAGGAAGTACTGGGCATGTTCCATGTATTATGTAATTTAATCTTTGTAACAATTCTGTGAGATAGATACTATTCTTTCCATTTTCCAGCTAAGGAAATTCAAGTCCCAGAGACGTTAAGTAATTTTTTCAAGGTCACACAGCTAGTAGGTGGCTGAGTCAGACTTCAGGCCCAGGCAGACTGGCTCTGGAACCTGCATTCCCGACCACGATGGTACACGGCTCCTGTGGGAGGCTCTTGCCTTTCCTCCCGTATTACATATGGGAAGGCAAAATAAGATAGTGTCCACCATGCACTTAGCTTTCTGTGTGTTTGGCCTTAGTAGAAACTTAGTAAACAATAGTTATTGGAATGATTATCCCTTTAATTCAAAATACTAACTTTCAAAAAGGCCAATGTAAAAATCAATATATACGAATGCTTCTGAGAATTTTTGGGTGTAATTTGGTTCTTAACCAACTGATTTTGTTGATATTCATAAAAGGGAGCTCAGCTGTTGATCTTCCTATTTTGTTTTAGATTTTATTTTATGGTGTGTTTTTTTTTTACATTGATTCACTACTCCTGAAAGCAGCAACACTGAGAACATTTATTTACTGGCATTTTGTTCCTGAGCGATCCTTCGCTTTCCCATTCCCTGAAATAGCTATCTGATTGTCTTTTCAATTTATCAATTATATAGTGACATTTTAAGGTATATGAGTTCGATCTATTTTAAAATGTTGTTTCCCCTCTTTTAAGACGCCATCAGTCAAGAGATGACGACGGCTGCTCCAGAGGCAGAAGCCACTTTATCACTGGCGACACAAGAGCAGCAGGTCTCTCCCCTCCAACTTAGCAGAGAAGATGGTGACACTGAGGAAGGAAAAGAGTCCCCTGCTGCCACGTCTGATGTTCCCGGCGTTTCTCAGCTGTCGAGAACATGGGAGCCCCTGGCCACCACCGTTTCAACTACAGCTGTACCTCTGTCTTTCGAAGCCACTACCACTGTGGAAGGTCTGTCAGGGAGGGAGTCGGACTCGGTGTTGTGGGGGTGGATTTTTTTCTGTGAGTTGATAAGCAATAGAGCGAGTGAGGCAGATGGTGGCCCTGTCGCCAGGGTAGACACACACACCTCACCTGGAGAGTGAACAGGAAAGGTAGGTGGACTCTTGTTTGGAGAGATGTCACACAGCCTCAAAGATCGAGGGGTCAGTTCCTAAGAAAAATCTCCTGGTGGCTTATCTCAGGAGGCCAGACCTCACCTCCAGAGACCTCTCTCTTCGTTTGACAACTCTGGCTGCTAGGAGCCAGGGGCTGAGGCGAAGAGAGCAAGGACATGGGTTGGAATCCCACCTTTGGCCCTCACTAATATCGTGGCCTCAAGTAAGTTTCTTAATGTCTTCAAGCCTCAAGTAAGTTTCTTAATGTCTTAATGTGTTCATCTCTAAAGAATGCCTATCTGTCTTAGAGATGATTTTAAGGGTTTGAAATAATGTATACAAACTGCTATCTATATAGGAGGCCCTTAAATGCTTTGATATCTTAAGGATAGTAAACTTTTCAAATCTGGGTGATCATCAGAATGACAAAAATTATTGTCAGTAGTTTTAAATTTTTGTAACTTTTAATGATTACAGAATTATTATTTAATTATTATTTCTGGACCTCATGTGTTTGTCTCATCATTGGTCTAAGTAAAGCCCATTAACTGAGTTGTTTTTAACAATGTAATAAATACCTTGTA